CCTTCCTTCCTTCCTTCCTTCCTTCCTTCCTTCCTTCCTTCCTTCCTTCCTTCCTTCCTTCCTTTCCTTCCTTTCCTTTCTTTCCTTTCTTTCTGCCTGTGGGTCCCTGGGCTTGAACTCCAGACCTATTTGCTGTTCCTTCAATTTTATTTGCTTAAGACTGATGTTCTACCACTTGAGCCACAGTTCCACTTCTGGCTTTTTTTTTTTTTTTTTTGGTCAGTCGTGGGTCGAACTCTGGGCCTGGGTACTGTCCCTGAGCTCTTTTGCTCAAGGCTAGTACTCTACCAATTGGCCCACAGTGCCACTTCCAGTTTTCTGGTAGTTTATTGGAGATGAGTCTTCTAGACATTTCTGCCCAGGCTGGCTTTGAACTGGGATCCTCAGATCTCAGCCTCCTGAGTAGCTAAGATTACAGCAGTTATAAAACCAGCTTTCTGTTTACATAAATTAAGGTAATTTCAGATAAATTATTATCAATGAATTATTTTTTTATATAGGTCTTATGAAAGAATCAAATATACTTTTTTGGGGGTGGTGGTTCTGGGGTTTGGGCTCTGGGCCTGGGCACTGTCCCTGGGCTATTTTTGTTCAAGGATAGCACTTTACCACTTGAATCACAACACCACATCTGGCCTTTTTGTGGTTAGTTGGAGATATGAGTTTCATGGATGTCTCAGCCTCCTTAGTAGTTAGGATTGTAGGCCTGAGCTATTGGCTCCTGGCCAAATGTATTATTCTAATCTAGTGTCTCTTAATATCTAATATAAAGCTGCAGTACCGGCAAATCATGGAATTCCTCAAGGAGCTGGAGCGGAAGGAGAGGCAGGTGACGTTCCGCAAGTGGAAACCCAAGGTGGCAGTTTCCAAGAAGTAAGGACGTACCCGTGTTGTATGTAAAGCACTCTTTGTAGCACCTTGGTTTTTCGTGGATGGCAAGAGTGTCTCATCACCCTTTACCTGTGATTAGAGATACAGGTTGGCTTAACTTTGGTGCAGTGGGTTAAATTTTAAACCACCTGAATGTATTACCTGTGGAACATAGAAATAATGTTTAAGGGCCATAAAATGTCATTGTTGATTTTTATTTATTTCTTTTTTTGAGGTACTGAGTTTGAATTCAGGACTTCATATTTTCTAGGCAGATGCTCTACAACTGTACCACGGATCCAGTTCTTTTTTTCCCACTGGTTATTTTTGAGATTGGGTCTTGCTTCCTGCCTAGGTGTGTGCCTGGTCTATAATCCTCCAGTTTTTCACTTCCCAACATAGCTGGATGACAGTGTAATCATGCTCAGTTCTTCTATTCAGAGTAGTCTCTCATATTTACTTTCTTTCTTTATTTTTATTTTTTGTATCTCTTTGGCTTTGAACTCAGGACCTGGGCGCAATCCTTGAGCTTTTTCACTCAGGACTAGTGCTCTACAACTTGGAGCCACAGTACTACTTCCAGTTATCTCCAGTTAACCACCAGAAAAGTGTGGCTCAAAATGTTAGAGTGCTAGTCTTGAGCAAAAAACCTTAGGGACAGTGCCCAGGCCCTGAGGTCAAGCCCCACAAACAAAAAAGAAGAAAAGGACAGTGTTATATGGATTGTATTGGACTGATGACCAGAGTGGCTTTATTTTGACAAGTAACACATTGCATTGTTGTGCATGATTTTAGCTGCCGAGAATGGTGGTACTTTGCGCTGAATGCTAATTTGTATGAGATCAGAGAGCAGAGGAAGCGCTGCACCTGGGACTTCTTGTTGCACCGTGCCCGTGATGCTGTATTTTACACTGACAAATATTTCAACAAATTAAAAGGTGGTGTTCTATCTGCAGATGACAAGGTGAGTGGACTGCTCTGTTTCCTTTTTATATTCAGAGGATAATGTTCTCTCAGAGACGGAAGAAAGTAGGATCTATGAAGAAATAAGTTTAACCTGCATCTCTTCCCAGGATAGATCTGGTTTTAGTAGAGTGGGAGAATCTTAGAAGAAGGTCATTAGCCTCACCTTGGCCAGAAGCATCCTTCACCAATGCCTGAGGAGAGCCAGGGACAGGGAGGAAAAGATGGTCACAGTGCTGCCAGCCCTTTTTGGCCACACCTCTCTATAGTTATTTGTGCTGGGTATAGAGAGAATTTCCTGTGATTACCCGTGTCTCTTCAAATTCTGATCCTAGTTCTAACAAAGTTTGTAACTAACCCTGTGAACTTTGGCCTTCATTTTCCCTAATCACAGCTGAGTTTGCTGCTCTTAGGTTTTTGATGAGCCAGGTGAAGCAGAATACTAGCTGCCACATTTGAATTATCGGTGGGCTAGAGACTCCAGAACCACAGAGTCCTTGAGGGGTCCTCCTCGCCCTTGGTGTGTTTGCCTGTCATCTCCTGGGGTGGCAGGGATTGCTTTGTTCATTGATTTGTTTTGTTTTTGTCAACATCAGTTTTTGAAGTGGTGCTTTAGGCCATCCATAGTATTTAGCTCAGGTAGTATCTGCTAAGGAATCATTTCTTTAGTGGACCCTTCTAGTGGAAAGGAGACATACTTTCCCTTCAGGGAAGCCCACACCCACTGTGTGTTAGCATGTAGTAAAGCGCTGCATCCTGTGGGGTCCTCACCTTTCCTGCCAACACCCTGACATCAGTTAATGCCTTTGTCATGTCAGGCATGGTACTGACACAGGGGCCTATGAGAAGGATGGAATCAATTACATAGTAAGAGTGGATAGTTTTCCTTCCCTCCTTCCTTCCTTCCTTCTTCCCTTCCTCCCTTCCTCCCTTCCTCCCTTCCTTCCTTTTTCTTTGCCAGTCCTGGGGCTTGAACTTAGGGCCTGTGCACTGTCTCTGAGCTTCTTTTGCTCAAGGCTGGCACTCTACCACTTGAGCCACAGCTCCATTTCTCGCTTTTTCTGTTTATATGGTAATGAGGAATTGAACCCAGGGCTTCATGCCTGCTAGGCAAGCACTCCCAGTCCTTGGATAGTTTCTTAAGGGTACAGACAGAGATGGAAGGAGAGAAAAATCTAAATCACCACCAAGTAAATATAGTTAACTTTTTTTTAATGTTAGGATACAAAAACAGTTCCAGATGGCTAGCTCTACTTTTCTAGCTAGTTCTATTACTTTTCTAACTTGGCAAGTGGCTGGTTATCATTGCTCTTTATTTACTGAACTAGCTTTTTTTTTTTTTTTTTTTGGGTCCGGTTGTGGGGCCTGAACTCTGGGCCTGGGCGCTGTCCCTCAGCTCTTCAGCTCAAGGCTAGCCTCTACCACTTGAGCCACAGCACCACTTCCAGCTTTTTTCTTTTTGCTTATGTGGTGCTGAGGAATCGAACCCAGGGCCTCAGACATGCAAGGCACGCGCTCTACCACTGAGCCATCTTCCCAGCCCCTGAACTAGCTTTTTATTAGTCATTGATAATATGCCATGTGAAACATGAAGGAGCTGGGAAAGGGGTAATTACTGTGTACACTTGGTGCCCTCAGTTTCCCCAGGTATCTGCTCCTCTGATTGAGCTGAGGCAGAGGAAGTACTTAGTGAACAGCATGGGTGCTGTGTTCAGAGTTGGATATTGTGGCAGTGTGTGGACCCACTGATCTGTGGCCTTTCTCCTTTTGTTATTGGAGTTTTAAAGACCAATACAGTCTGTTGAATTACAGGGAAATCTTGTTGAGGACAGCAGCACCAGTCATGGAACTAGCTGTTTATCTTGTTTCTGTGTCTCCATCAGTGAAGAGTCCAGGCAGTTGGCTCCGGGGTGTGTGTGTAACTAGCTGTTTATCTTGTTTCTGTGTCTCCATCAGTGAAGAGTCCAGGCAGTTGGCTCCCGTGTGTGTGTGTGTGTGTGTGTGTGTGTGTGTGTGCGTGTGTGCAGTTGGCTCCTTGGGTGTGTGTGTGTCCAGTTCTCAAGAACTGTAATATCTGCATTCTGTTTGTTTGTTTTGCTTTCACCCAAACAGGAAGAAATCTGTCGGATTGAGGAGGAACAGAGCTTTGAGGAATTGAAGATTCTTCGAGAACTGGTTCATGATCGATTTTACAAGCAGGAAGAACTAGCAGAGGTGAGGAATCCTGAATGCTTCAACTTTGAAAAGCTTCTGTCTGGGCACAGCTTTTTTTGTTGTCGTTGTTGGTCCTGGGGCTTGATCTCAGGACCTGGGCACTGTCTCTGAGCTTCTTTTTACTCAAGTCTGGTGTTCTACCACTTGAGCCGCAGTACCACTTCTGGCTTTTTCTGAGTAGTTTATTGGAGCTAAGAGTCTTGTGGACTTTTCTGCACAGGCGGGCTTCGAACTGTGATCCTCAGATCTTAGCTAGGATTAAAAGTGTGAGTCACCAGGACCTGGCCATATCACAGCTTTTACTACTTTCAGGTGCTCACATCTCTCCTTTGTGATTATACAGAGTCTACGGGAGCCTCAGTTTGACTCTCCAGGAACCTCTCCTGGGGACCCTGATGCCAGCGGAGGCAGTGGGATGCTGCAATACCTGCAGTCCTGGTTTCCTGGCTGGGGCGGCTGGTATGGGCAGCAGAGCCCTGAGGGGAAAGCGGTGGAAGGACTGTCTGCTGAGCCCCATGAGCAGTGGATCCCGGAAGAGATCCTGGGTATGCTGGCCTGGGCTTGCCCCTTTGCTATATAGTGGAGGGAATAGCCCATGGTTGTTTTCAAATTAAACAAAGGAGACATTTAGAAAGCAGTTTGTTTCATGTTCATAGGGGCAGAGAGGAGACATATTTGTAAACATGGAGTTCTGTGAACTCCATTAATAAATAGGAATACTGGCATAGTTTTGGGCAGCTGTTGTCAGCCAATTAAATTTGAGAACATTCACAAATTTTGAACTCCAAAGCTTGAATTCCAGTCAAGAGGTACTTTTTAAAATTTTAGTAAGGATTTATTTATTAGTATAACAGAGTTAAAGTAGTGAGAAATGAAAAACATTTCATGTTCTTCATGCAGAAAGTAGGAGTTAGACTCAGAATTGGAGTTCTTATCTGTGGCTTTTATACCTTTTATGCTGGTAGTTTCTGTCAGTCACTTGACTCCTTCAGACAATGGTTTTGGTGAGAAAGGAGCTTATCTGCCTTTTTCAGTTTACTTCCCGATTGTAATTTCTGTAATTTCTGGCCCTCTTAATACTTGTTAAAAATAATACAATTGCTTTGTCTTATCTGTGTAGCCTGCCTTATTTCCTTCCTAAAATAACTTTGGTCCCTTTTATTCTTAAAAGCGGTGGGTGCAGAAGGGCTGTAGTCCACCTTTGGTAACTGTTCCATGCTGAGAGTAGACTGTTGGCCCTGTGTGGAGAAAGGGAGCCAAAAAGTCATTGCTCTGTCTAATTTAGTTGGTGACTTGGGAAGTGCACTTAGCAGTCTGCCATGGTCAGAACCAGAAGATGAGCCAAGACCAGAAGACATCAAGTTATTTTTATTTATTCATTTATTTTTGGTTGGTTATGGGGCTTGAACTCTGGGCTTGGGCTCTATCCCTCAGCTCTTCAGCTCAAGGCAAGCACTCTACCGCTTGAGCCACAGCGCCAGCGCCACTTCTGGTTTTCTAGTCGTTTATTGGAGATAAAAGTCTCAAGGACTTTCCTGCCCTGACTGGCTTTGAACCTCGATCCTCAAATCTCAGCCTCCTGAGTAGCTAGGATTACAGGTGTAAGCCACCGACGCCCGGCTCAAGTTATTTTTTTTTAACTCAAAGAGAAAGATATACTAGCAAAAATCATTATGTAAAAGTAAACAGTGTTGATGTATGCAGTTGAGCTGTGTCTTGTACCTATATATGATAGAAAAAACTCCAAAGCAGTGACAGAGGTTGTTAACCAGTGATACCCTTGCTGACTTAAAGGACTAGTCTTGTCTGGAGTCTGGGAATGATGAGAGAAATTAAACCATGTGTCTGCTCAACTCCAGGCTAAGATTAAAGGCCTGAAGAAGACCCAGCCATATAAATAGTAGCCTGAACTTTGGAAGACATTAAAGAAAAATTTCAGATCCTTCTGCAATCCAGCTATTTCAACTTAGTTCTATCATTTTTTTTCTTTTTTTAAATTTTTATTTATTTTTTATTGTGAAAATACTGTACAGAGGGGTTACAATTACATGAGCAAATAATGAGTACATTTCTTATCAAGCATTGTAGCCTCCTCCTTTGTTTCCCCTTCCCATCCCTTCCCATCCTCCCCCCAGTTCTGTCATTTTCATCTTCCTAGTGAAGTTGCTTTTTACTGTGAAAAAGTAAACAGTGTTTCCTAGATGGATAGTCAGTTTTTTTTTAAAGGATTAACAAAACATTATAAAATATTAGAAAACATTTGCAAGTCCTTAAGGACTTTCAGAGTCTATAGATAAAATGTATCTTGTAGTTACATATAGAATGAAAGGTTAACCTAAATGTGGATTTCCCAGGGCTGGGGAAGATGACAGCAAGCTTTTAAATTTGAGAGTTTTCTTAGTGTACCTTAGTTACTCTAGGTATTCACAGTTAGGTCTGGGTTGTGGAGGTTTTCTTTAAAACTGAGCTGCCCAAAATGATGCCTAGTCCCAAAAAGACTATTTAAATTCAGTAAAGTTAAATAAAAGTGAAAGTCCAGTTTTTTCATTGCAATAGCCACATTAACCATGTGCCATGTGTGCTTAACAGCCACATAGGGTCAGTAGCCACTGTGCCCAGTGACCGTAAGCATAGACTATTTCTCTATTGGACAGCATTGTCTTGTATTTTGTTGTACTTTCTGGTTTGATCATAAGTTGACAAGAGTCCTTATAAAACAAGGTCATCTTGTGTTAACAAATAGTCTTCCATCGTCTTTAGAGTTCTTTCTGTAAGAAGGAATATGGTTCAGAAGCCCCAGGGTAGCAGACTATACTTGCTCTGTTCTTCCACGTTTTCTCTCCAAGTCTGTTCTTGCCTTGCAGGCACCGAGGAGTTTTTTGACCCTACTGCAGACGCCTCATGTATGAACACGTACACAAAGCGAGATCACGTCTTTGCCAAACTGAATTTACAACTGCAGCGTGGTACAGTGACTCTGTTACACAAGGAACAAGGAGCTCCTCAGGTGGACGAAAGCGCGTTCATGCAGCTGGAGTTTTCAGGTACTGACAGGAGAAGCTAGCTGCTGCTGCTCTCTGTGCCTGCTTCTATTTGATTCTCCCCCATCTGTCAAAATTATAGTTAGAAAGTTAGGGCTGGGAAAGTGGCTCAGTGGTAGAGCACTTGCCTTGCATGCATGAGGCCCTGGGTTCGATTCCTTAGTACCACATAAGCAGAAAAACAAATACGAAAAAGAAACAAAAGAAAGTTATCCCAAGCCGGGGTGGCTCATGCCTGTAATCCTAGCTCCTCAGGAGGCTGAGATCTGAGGATCATGGTTCAAAGCCAGCCCGGGCAGGAAAGTTCATGAGACTCTTATCTCCAGTAAACACCCCCCCCCCCAGAAAACCGGAAGTGGCGCTGTGGCTCAAGCAGTAGAGCACTCGCCTTGAGCTGAAGAGCTGAGGGACAGTGCCCAGGCCCAGAGTTCAAGCTCCACGACCTACAAAAAAAAAAAAAAAAAAAGAAAGCCCAAACACTGATGCACCACTGGACCTTGAGAAAATGCAGAGTTGGCTTCCTGTGAGCCCCTGGTCATAACAGTCATTGACCCGCCAGTACGTGACTTGTTTTTTTTCAAATGTGAGTTTGTGTTTGAAGACATCATTTTTAATATAGAGCTGTTGCTGATTCATCCTTTTGAACTCAGGTCCTGCAGCACTGTCACTCCTGTCTGAACAAATCTAATCGAATGTTCCTATGTAAAACTAATATGTGTATGCACATTACAACCTCAAGCTTCAACAGTACACTGGCCTGTTTATTTGTCTAGTAGTTCTGTGGTTGGAACCCATGTACATTCTAGGAAAGAGCTCTATCACTGAGCCACACCTAGTCCTGCACAGTGATTGCAAACGGCAAAATCATGAACAACAAAAAAAAGCAAGCAAAAAAATATAAACCCAGCATTCTAAATAGACCAGCATGACAGCTAACCCATGGGGCAGAGCGCTGTCTACTCTGAACTTACTTGAGACTGGTTATGTTGAGTGACTCAATAATTTTTTTGAATTGTTCCTTCTGAATGACCAACAAGTGCCATGAGTACTGATTTTGGGGTTGGCAAATTTGGAAGGTAAGTAGATGACTATACCATGGGAGTGTGACTAAATGAGGGTCTACTGTATCTGATTGCTCTTTGTGACTTCGAATTAATGATGTGTAACTAAACATCCAGATGGTGCTTAGGAAATCTCAGTTCTTTTTATTTCATGAAACAGCATTTTTCTTTTTTTGTGCCAATACTGAGGCTTGAGCTCATTGACAGTGCTGTTACTGAGCTAGTACTCTGTAAATACATTATCTGATGTTTTTAGAAACATAAACATCATGGGGGCTGGGAAGGTAGCTCAGTGGTAGAGCGCTTGCCTTGCATGCCTGAGGCCCTGGGTTCGATTCCTCAGCACCACATAAGCAAAAAAAAGAAAAAAAACTTGAAGTGGCGCTGTGGCTCAAGTGGTAGAGCGCTAGCCTTGAGCTGAAGAGCTAAGGGACAGCGCCCAGGCCCAGAGTTCAGGCCCCACAACCGGACCCAAAAAAAAAAAAATATATACATCATGGTCACATGCTTTCACTCATAACATGGCTCACATTTATCTTTTGTAGATGTAAAACTACTAGCAGAATCTCTTCCTCGAAGAAATTCCTCCTTGCTTTCAGTCCGGCTGGGTGGACTGTTCCTCCGAGACCTGGCCACGGAAGGAACCATGTTTCCTCTTTTGGTCTTCCCTAATCCGGTGTGTATTGTATTGTGGCCAGCATCTGTGCATTTAGTGAACAGTGTGTTGTAGGTAAACAAAGTGTAATATTAACCTGATTTATTCTGATATGTGATCATCTTGAGGCAGACAGGCTGGGACTAGATACCTTCTTAAATTTGTTGGAGAACAAATGTTAATGAGGTCTGTGGCTTTCCTACCTATGTTGAAGTTACCATGGAATAGTTGGATCTGTTTTGAAAGAAAATGCTGTAAGCACCATGTTTTTGCATTTCAAGGTCAATGTCTGAATATCTTTCTTTTTTTTTCTTTTTTTTTTTTTTTGGGTCCAGTCGTGGGGCCTGTACTCTGGGCCTGGGCGCTGTCCCTCAGCTCTTCAGTTCAAGGCTAGTGCTCTACCACTTGAGCCACAGCACCACTTCTAGCTTTTTTCTTTTTGCTTATGTGGTGCTGAGGAATCGAACCCAGGGCCTCAGGCATTCAAGGCAAGCGCTCTACCACTGAGCCACCTTCCCAGCCCCCTGAATATCTTTTCTGTCAGTCATTTTTATTCATTTTGACCTGTAAGCATTGTCAGGGGATAATTTAATTCTTTTTTTTTATTTTTCTCCTTGTGCTGGGGATTGAATTCAGGAGCCTCGTACTTGCTAGGCTGGCACTCCACCAATTGAGTGACATCCCCAGTGTCATTGATAAATGGAACTAACTTTCCCTCCCTCCCTCCCTCCTTCCCTCCTTTCCTTCCTTTCTTCCTCCCTTCCTCCCTTCCTCCCTTCTTCCCGTTCTCCCGTTCTTTCAGATTTACTTTTTTTTTTTTTTTGTGGTACTGGGACTTGAATTCTGGGCCTTGTCCTCTCACTGGTTTTTCTGCGTAAGACTGATGAATCTACCACTTGAGCTACGCTTCTAGTTCGGGTTTTTAGCTGGTTAGCTGGAGATAAGAGTTTCATAGACTTTTTGCTCTGGCTGGTTTTGAACTGATACCCTTGGAGCTCAGCTTCTAGAGTAGCTAAGATTACTCTCCGAATTTTCTCAGTGTGACTATTTTGTGTGTGTATGTGTGTGTGCTAGTCCTGGGGCTTGAACTCAGGGCCTAGATGCTGTCCCTGAGGGTTTTTTTTTTTTTAAGGCTAGCACTACCAATTGAGAGCTGTACTTGCAGCTTTTTTGGTGAGTTATTAGAGATGAATCTTATGGACTTTTCTGTCTAGGCTGACTTCAAACCTAGATCCTCAGATCTCAGCCTCCTGACTAGCTAGGATTAGAGGTGTGAGCCACCAGTGCCTGGCCCTAATCTTTCTCTTATTCTCTTTCTCTTTCTCTCTCTCTCTTTCTCTGTGTGTGTGTATATGTATGTACATATATATTTGATTGTTTAAGGTCTTTAATCTTACTAAGTTGGCTGAAGTATGGTTGAAATGGTCGAATAGCCTTTGACCTTGTCCATAATTATTTTTTAGGGAGATGGGGGATTGTTTAGGAGAGGATGAGAGGGCATTCTTAATGCTTAATTTTCATTTAGCAATTTGTTAGATTTGCTGAGTGCCAAGTAGCATACTGGTCTCTGAGAAGAGAATGACTTGGTCTTATGAGGTTTGGAAAAAAGCACAAATCTGAATAAGTATGCAAGTACTCATTAATCTGGTATGAAGTGAGTTTTGGTCCATCCCACACTAAGGGGTAAGAGTGTGTATCTGTAGTATACCATCCCCTCTTGCCTTCCCATTGATGGATTTTCTTTTTTAATATTTAACAGCAAAAAGAAGTTGGCAGAGTCTCACAGTCATTTGGTCTCCAAACTACATCTGCAGACAGAAGTGACCAATACCCTGGTAATTTATTTATTTTTTTTGGTCAGTCGTGGGCCTGGGCGCTGTCCCTGAGCTCTTCTGCTCAAAACTAGTGCTCTACCACTTTGAGCCACAGTGCCACTTCTGGTTTTCTGGTGGTTAATTGGAGATAAGAGTCTCATGGACTTCCCTGCCTGGGCTGGCTTTGAACCTTGGTCCTCAGATCTCAGTCTCTTGAGTTGTTAGGATTATAGGCGTGAGCCACCAGTGCCCAGCTTATTCTGTGTTCTTAAAGCTCTTTCAAAACACCCTTTTTCCAGATCAGTAATCTTTGATCAGTTGTAGAAGAGAGTGTTTTCTGCTTTGGGTAAAGTGGTTTGTCTTTGGATCAGTGGAGGCAGCCAAGTGCTACTTTTAACCTGTGTATAACTATGACAGCCTTGCTGGGCCTCTGGGGTGTGTTTTCCATTTTAGAGCAGTACAGTTCAATAGCTCAGCCTTAATGATTTCTGATCAAAATAAAGAGCCAAACCTTATTAGGCTCTCCATTTTAAAAAGTTGCGTAATTGTGGACTGATTGGAAAACAATTGAGAAAATATCTTTTTCACAGAATTTCTCACGGCACTGATAAGAATAAGGTGATTGTTTTTGCTGTGTTCCATTTTTCATTCTACAGTTCTTTCTTTCAGCTGCAGACCCGGACGACCCAGTTTTTGAGATGCTGTATGAGAGAAATCCAGCACACAGTCATTTTGAGAGGCGGTTAAATGTCAGCACGAGGCCTCTGAACATCATCTACAATCCGCAGGCTATTAAAAAAGTAGCAGACTTTTTCTACAAGGGAAAGGTCCATACCTCAGGTTAAATTTTTTGTTTGTTTGATCTTATGTTACTTAAAAAAAATCTTGGCTTTTCTGGTACTCTGGACATTGTTATAAAGCATTTGAATGGTTTGAGAATGTAGAGGAGGCCTGCAAGTAGGTGGGCAAGGCTGTCCCTAGAACCTAGGATGCTGTCTTCTCCCGGAGCCATCAGTGTCCTTTTAGTGGGCAATATTTCATGCTGTACATTCTATTATGGTGGTGGTTCCTTGGTGAATGGAGGAAGAATGCTAAAGGATAACCTTCTAGATCATAGGAACACTGGTCTTTTTTACTTGTTTGGTGCAGCATTTAATACTGCAAAATCCTCAATACCATTGATGCTCCCTTTGTTTTCAAAGAAGATTTGAAATGATAAGTATGGAAAAAACCCTTTATAGACAGACTGAAAGGAATGTTTTCCCAAAGGGGCTTCTCCCAGTCCGGTGACTATGTACTTATTTCCCTGCAATATAACAATGAATTTCTAGTCTTTTGCCTAACAGTGGAGACTTCCTGTAAATACCAGCATTCCCTGTTAGAATAATGAGGCATTTCCTTCAAAATGCTATTCTTTCTGTTGTAAAAAGTAAGAACTGTCCTTTAGCCCACTCTTGCCTTTTCTTGCTCTGTAAGATTTTCAATTGTAATGGTTTGGAATATTCTGGAAAATGGTTCAAGAATTTTTACTAAATTAGGTCCTGTTCCTCATGTTCCTCTTTGGCCCTGTGTTTGTGCCACCCATCATGCCTCATTCCTGTGCTCCTGTATATGCTTGGTCATTTGGGGTCACAGGTGTTTTCCTACTAATTTCCTACTAATTTATTTCAGCTGTGGTGGGAAGTCTTGGTGAGACTAGCCATGGCAGTGTTTTTGTGCAGAGCTGCTGGAGTCTTCTGATTCTGTCTTTGTTGCAATTTTTCAGGTTTTGGTTATCAGTCAGAACTTGAGTTGAGAGTGGCTGAAGCAGCTCGAAAACAGTATAACAAGCTGAAGATGCAGACCAAAGCGGAGATCCGACAAACCTTGGACCGGTTGCTAGTGGGGGACTTCATTGTAAGTGCCTCAAACACTGTCAGGGCCAGGGAAACAGCATTTTCCTGACAAGTTCACTGCCTGCTGTAGCTTTACTTGCCATATTAATAACACCAATGTAGTTGGGCCCGGTGGCTCATGCCTATAATCCTAGCTACTCAGGAGGCTGAGAGCTGAGCATTGCGGTTTAAAGCCAGGCCGGGGAGGAAAAGTCCGTGAAACTCTTTACCTCCAATAAACCACCAGAAAACTGGAAATGGCGCTGTAGCTCAAATGGTAGAGCGCTTGCCTTGAGCTGAAGAGCACAGGGACAGTGCCCAGGCCCAGAGTTCAAGTCCCACGACCGACCAGAAAAAAAAAAACAAAAAAACCCCCAACAATTTAGGGAACTAAAAGGAGGACCTCCTTATCAGCTAGATTAGCTAGCATAACATAGAAATACCAGGTCTTTAACACAGAAAGGTTTTTTTTTTTTGGTGGGTTGTGGGGGCTTGAACTCTGGGCCTGGGCACAGTCCCTCAGCTCAAGGCTAACACTGTACCACTTGAGCCACAGTGCCACTTCCAGCTTTTTTTTCTGCTCCTGCTTATGTGGTGCTCAGGACTTGAACCCAGGGCCTCATGCGTGCAAGGCAAGCACTCTACCACTGAGCCACCTTCCCAGCCCCACCACCCCTTTTATTTGTAGGTTGTGGGGCTTGAACTCTGGGCCTTGGCACAGTCCCTCAGCTCTTCAGTCAAGGCTAGCACTCTGGCACTTGAGCCACAGTGCCACTTCCGGCTTTCTGGTGGTTAATTGGAGATAAGAGTCTCACGGGCTGGGGCTGGGAAGGTGGCTCAGTGGTAGAGCGCTTGCCTTGAATGCCTGAGGCCCTGGGTTCGATTCCTCAGCACCACATAAGC